GGGAACCAGCGCGTTTAGTGGTATTGCCATCACTCCAATTAGAGGGGAGGGGGGGGACGGGTAACCAGTCTTACACATCACTTCAGTCATATTGATTCACTTGCATAAAAAATAAACATGTCGATGATTTTACCAGTCATGTTTTTTTCTTCTTCTCATGAAGCGGCTGTGTTTTATTTTCCTGCCAGGTGGTGGTGAAGACAAAGGCAGATTATGACGGTGAGAGCAAAAAGGGAAAGCTACGATCTCCCAAAATCGCAGAGTTCTCAATAAGCATCATTGAAGGCGTTTCTGAGCGACTCAAAGTAAGAATAACGGAGCTGCTACAATCTGTGTTTCATGCATCATCCATTTCCCAGTATACTCCCACACATGCACATCCCTGAGAGCAGATATGTGTCTGCCTGCTGCTCAGGACATTTTTCATCCCCCTCCAATCATAATATTTCCTCCCCAGCACAGCTCATACCTTTTGGCTCCTTCATTCAGCCTTCTTTCGTCTCCCTGTCCTCCCTTGTTGTCTGTAATCTTGGCCGGCTATACAGAGAGACATAATGCTCACTGATTCACTTAACCCCGCCCTGACACTCTCATTAATTCAGCTGCTGCCATGGTGATGGCCTCCAAATGGCAGCATCTCTCTCACCTTTTAATGCTCCTTTGATTAGAAGATAGATTTTTCTGTGCACACCTATAGAATGATTGAAACGCGTGTTTTGCTTTTAAAAGAAACGAATGCGTAAAAGATGCCCTTTCTCCCTATAAATCCATCTCCGCATGTCCTGTGCCAACACTGAGCGATCGTCCCTCTACATTCGTAATCAACAGATGAAAAAATATCTCTGAGCAGTGCCAGGCTCTCTTTGTAGGGCTTTAATTCTCAAACATAAAGCCACCGAGGCACATCACTGCCTGAGAAAACACAGCCTACATCCTCACGTCGGTGCTTTGAAATGTTGCAGGCGGGCCTTTCATCACAGAGAGTCTCTGTAATAAGCTCCTGTTGCTCTGCTTTGTGCACGCTGCACTGTATGCTCTGCTGTGTAACTGTCCAATTCAAGCAAACAGATAAAAAGCAAATACTGTCATTCATATCGACGCACACTCTTAAGAATCTTATCAAACCTGAGCCAAACACAGTGGGCCAAAAAAACAAAACAAAAAAACAAAAAAGAAAACAACCCCTCAAAGAGTTGTTGGATGTGTGGCACATTGCTCATAATGTGTGAAGTCTTGTTTCTCTGCTGCAACTGTGAAATTTCACAGATACAGACCCATTTCACTGACATTGCTTTAAAATAGAAATTTTCCCTCCCTCCAAATAGCATATTCATTTATTCTGCTGCATAAAGCACACCTTTTTTGGGGGGGGGGTCATCTTGGGTAATAATCACGCGCTCACTCCCACTGCCCAGAAGCTCCAGTAGGTGTTACATAACTCCCCTGAGAGGTGGGAGCTGAACTGTACAGGTGGCCGCACAAACTGTGTTCTTGTCGAGTTAATTTATTCAGATTATTCTGTAGACCTGACTGGATGTTACTGTCACCGTTTTACTTTATGACCTTCCACATAATTGTCCACGTTTTTTTTTCCTTTTGCTTCAATATGGCAACCTTTTACTCTCGCTCAACCTTTAATATCAAAGAAGCTATTAGAGGTTGCTCCAGTCTGCCCATTCGCTTCCTTTCATCAAGATGTAGGGAGTCTATTTATGGTGTCCTTTAACGGAGCTGTCTCGTAGGTCTTCTGCTGACGATGACACTGTGCGTCTCCTTTAGGTGACCTTGCTGGTGATCTGTGCTCTGGCTTTCCTGATGTGCCTAGTGTTCCTCGTGGTCTACAAGGTCTACCAGTATGAACAGCCTTGTCCTGACAGCTTTGTTTACACGGTAAGAAAAACATTTCACCGTGTTGCTGTTCTTTTCTTTTTTTGTTTTTACCTTTATCTGGATAAACCTTTGCCCTTCATGTAGTAAAGCATTTTTGTTGCATTATTTTAAATATCTAATTTAAATGAGGATTTAACTGATCATGAGTGCTGACACCACATTCACTTATACAATTTAAGCTGACATAAATAGAAAATGTATTTTTACCATGGAGTTTAAAAAAAACTCTTATCTGAACTTCCTTAGATCCCCAATAAATCTAAATTTTATTACCAGTGTCACCTGTTTGTGTGAAAATATGTAATTTTTGAGAGGTCAAACAGTACATTTTTCATATTACAGACAAAATCTTCAGTCAATAAGCAATAAAACACATTAAATAGCTTTGCTGAAACAGCCATGATGGTCAGCAATTCGCAATAGCTTAACATGGCTACTTTTAATAAAAGATTTCGTTATTAATTTTGTTGACTGGTTTCCATTTGTGTTCCTGTTCCAGGAGCAGTTTAGATTAATCCTTACCTAAGGCTTTTATCGTCCCATACTGCTGGTCTGCAAAAATGACATATTCTCACAATAAAAGCTGTGGGTCTGAGGTTATCGATTATTATCTCACCACAAAGCCTTAATCCCTCTACCTACAGTGCTGGGAAAAAGTCTTGAGTCACCCTTTATTTCTTTCGATTTTGCCTCCAATACTTTTGCTTCCAGCACTTTTGCACCAACAAGGTGATTCCCATAGAGCTATTACCCAAACACCTGGCACATTGTGACATGGTGTCCTTAAGAAATTGGGAAAAAAATCCATCAAAAACCTGACACAGGACCAGAGAGATGAATCTGGCCCCTCAGGTGACCTTTCTACTGTCCAGTAAAGCCTAATCAGAAATGGTCTCAGTGGAAGTGTTGCTGTCAAGAAGCCATTTTCAGGGAAGGTGAACAGGTAGAGGTATGCCAGATTATACAAGAACTAGTCTGAAAGTCTAATTTGAAACTTGTGGTTGAAATTGCTCAATGTACAGAGGAGGCCAGGAGAGAGGTACCACAGTGAGTTTCTGTAGCCATCTGTAAAATAAGGTTGGAGGTTCATGGTTCATGGCTGTATTCCTCCAGTGATGTTGGCCATCTTGCCAAAGTTCCATCACATTTTGATCAACAATGCAATACCATCTGGAAAAAATCTGAGTGTCAGTGGCTTAACTTTCTAGGGTGACATTGATCCCAAACAAACTAATGCAGTAAAAGCATACCTGGGTATAGGAACAGAGTGAAACAATATCAGTCATGGATTGGCCTTCAAAGAGCCCAGAGCTCAACATTACTGAAGTACTGTGGGGTCATCTTGTTAGGGAACAAAAGAAAAAGGAGCCAGCATCCAAAGTCTGGAGAACTATTCTTGAAGACTACTTAAATAAATGACAAGAAAGCTTGTCAAAGAGACTGTGTTGAAGAATAAAGGTGGTCATACCAAATATTTTGACTTTCAAGCTAATTACAACTGTATACATTTTCCCCCTTATATACATGCATGTTTGCACATGTTAGAATAAACCACTGCAGCAATTTTCCAAAGCAAAATTTAAGACACAAATTGTGCCTCCAGACTTTTGCACAGCACAGTATAACTGTTTAAATGATAAGATTTAACTTGCATTGTTTTCTGTGCTCTTTTGCTCCAATCTATATTCTGTTGTTGTCACCTATTGTGTGCACTGAATGAGTTAACTCCCAGTATGTTTAATTCTCTCTTTCTGGAGCAGCAAGGTCGCTGCATGCCAGCTGGGCTGTATGGCAACTACCCCCCTCAGGGCCCTGGGGGCCGTGGACGTCTCTTCACACTCATTAACCACTACAACATAGCCAAGCAGACCATCACTCGGTCAGTATCACCATGGGTGACCATCATGTCTGAGGAGAAGGTCACCCAGCAGGAGACGGAGACTGCCCAGAAACTGGCTTAACCAACCTGGGATCAGGTGGTGGCTTCGCCTGCTGCTGAAAAATAAATAATATGGTTGTGCCATTCAAGCAAACCTCTCAGTCCTGTGGCTTTAATGGTTAAAAATCCACTTCTTTTGGCTGAGGTGCTATGCTGCCTTGTTGATGCAGTTTGGTCAGCTGATGCTTACAGTAGGAGGAATTTCTGCAAGTGAGGCTAACAGCTGGGTGGATTTACAGGTTTGTTTGAATAGCATACGCTGTTATTTATTTACACTTTGAGTGGCAAACGTGTAGAAAAAAAGCCACAGAAACAAACACTGACACACACATTCACTGTCTTTGTACATACACACATGTAACAGAGCTCACTTTAGTACTCAGATTGTGAAACGACTGTGAACCATCTCGTGTCTGCGTCGCTTGTTTTATGCACGCACGACTCTTAATAACAATCAGTTTGCTTTGAATCTCTTTGTATTCCAATACATCAAGTACTGATATGAGCATGTTGGAAATCTCGAGGTTGGGAGAGTGGTAAATTTCTCATGAAGTGACAGGATATTTGCCACTGAGGCCATCTGTATGAAAATGTCTTAGTGTTATGGTATTGTGAACAAAGCCTTGACTTGGAGGAAATGTACCAGCAGAAAACATATTTTAAATTGTGCTGTACTGCTCTCTGCATATAGTGCTTTAAAAAAAGTGCTGATCAAGTTTCTCTTTCTTTTTTTTCCCCTCAAACAGACATGAATGATTGTTTCCATTCATTTGGATTCTGTGAACACAATGTGCTTTGATTTTCTGGCTACACAACACTTATTTAAGGATTACTTTACAGAGCATAACTTTTAAGCTACTGTACTGAATGTTTTTTGCATTGCTAGTGAAGACACTGTATTGCGCAATGCTTCGCATTGATTAATGTCGCCATATATGGCTATAAGCAGCCACCACAGATACTAGAGTTAGGCTGATGTAGTGGAACAATCTGACAGTAGTTGCTTGTCCTGTTGTTTCCTTTCTGTATTTGTCATTTAACTTAACTTGCCACAAATTATGTACCTTTTTCAAACAATGTAATGATTGCCATTGAAGTGCATTTGCTACATAAAAAAAATGTCAAATGAAAAACTTAAATAAAGTGCCCACATTTCACACCGACGTCTATGTGCAATCCATTTATGCAAAAGAAGATTTTTATTCATTACTTTGAGAGCAAGTCATGTCAGAGCTGCTGAAAACTCCCTCGGCACAGAAAATAAACACACTTAAAAGTTCCAGTTGCTCTTGAGCTGACATCAAAGGAAAAAAATGTTCAAAGCACTTTAATGCTGTCACTGGAATCTGGGTTAATCATTATAAACAGATTAAGAGAAACATCAGAAGTCAACAGCTACTTTCTCCTTAGCTGACACGAACCAAGGCAGGCAGCGGCTTTAGCTGCCTTTGATGTTATCTGCAAACCCATATAGATACGAATTATAAAAATTGTTTTATATCATGAAATATCATCATGAATTAATGAGAGAAGGTACACATTAAATTTGCTATAAATTAATTGAGAATCAGTTGCTTTTACTTGAATGTATCTGATGTGCCAGTACAGTTCATTCGGCTCCAATCTGCAAACCATTTTGAGCATTTAGAGTAATTTATTTTACATAAAGAACAAATCTTTTTGAATACATGGGACTGTGTTGTCAAGATGCAAATACGCTCTAGTGCATAAAACAGTTTCGGAAGAGATTCACAGGGATCGAAATCCAGTCAAACCATTGTTACTCATGGCTGAGAAAGGCAAGATGTTAAAATACAAGTGCATTTTTATATTAAAGCTACCCTAGATAGAATCAGGGAAGAATTAAGTGCCATTTAAACATGAGGACATAATCTCACGTTCAGTCTTGCTGTTGCCATCACTTCACTTCTCAGTTAGTTGTACAATCACTTCTGAGATATGCATTGTGTATCAGCTTCAGGCAGTTTCTTGTTGTCCAGAGTCCATTTGGGCAGTCGTGTTAACTGTCATACCAGTCCAGGAAGAGAAGAGAAAAAGAGCACATAACGAGGAAAAAGAGGATCCATACCCTAAATCCAGCGTTGTTTTTGATAGCCTTAAAAAGAAGTAAACACAATGACATTTTACTGAGTGGAAATATAAGTCACATATATACTCACCGGTACACCTGTTCAACTGGTTGTCAATATAAATACCTAATTAGCCAATCACATTGCAGCAGCTCAATGTATTTAGACATGCAGAAGACCTGCTGAAGTTCAAGCTGAGCATCAGAATGGGGGAAAAAAAGTGATTTAAGTGACTTTGAACGTGGCGTGGTTGTTGATATCACTGTCCAGTGAATGGCAGTTCTCTAGGCCAAAATGCCTTGTTCATGCCAGAGGTCCAAAGAGAATGGTCAGACTGCTGTGAGCCAAAAAGAAGGCAATAACAACACAAATGACCACTTGTTACAACCAAGGTATGCAAAAGAGCATCTCTGAACATATGTTCTTGAAGCAGATGCACTACAGCAGCATAACATCACATCACATCACGTTCCACTCTTGTCAGATAAGATTAGGCTTAAAACTTTCCTTTTTGCTAAAGCATATAGTTAGGGCTGGACCAGGTGACCCTGAATCCTCCCTTAGTTATGCTGCAATAGACGTAGACTGCCGGGGGATTCCCATGATGCATTGAGTTTTTCCTTTCCAGTCACCTTTCTCACTCACTATGTATTAATAGACTTCTCTGCTTTGAATCATATCTGTTATTAACCTCTGTCTCTCTTCCACAGCATGTCTTTTATCCTGTCTTCCTTCTCTCACCCCAACCGGTCGCAGCAGATGGCCGCCCCTCCCTGAGCCTGGTTCTGCCGGAGGTTTCTTCCTGTTAAAAGGGAGTTTTTCCTTCCCACTGTCGCCAAAGTGCTTGCTCATAGGGGGTCATATGATTGTTGTGTTTTTCTCTGTATCTATGAAGCGCCTTGAGGCGACTTTTGTTGTGATTTGGCGCTATATAAATAAAATTGAATTGAATTGAATAGATAAGAACAGGAAACCGATGCTACAACTCACCAACATTGTAGAACAGTAAATTGGTCAAATTTGGCCTGGTCTGAAAATTATTGATGTCTGCTGCAACATGAAAGCATGGATTCACCCTGCCTTGTATCAACACTTCAAGGCAGTTCAGTGCTGGTGGTGTAATATTGTGCAAGAATTTCTTGGCACACTTTGAGTCCCTTAGTGCCAACTGAGGATTATTTAAATGCCAAACCCTACCTGAATATGGTTACCAAACAAGCTCATCCACAGTCCACAGAGTACCTATCCTCTGATGGCTGCTTCCAAATCATCTCAAACTGGTTTCTCAAATATGAAAACAGGATCTGGTGACCTCCACAGTCACCAACAGAGCACTTTAAGATGTGAAACAGGAGCATCACATCATGGATGTGGAGCTGATAAATGTGCCGCATGTGTGTGACACTATCATGTGAACATGAAACAAAATCTTAGAGGTTTTTTTTTAGCACCTTGTTGAGTCTGTTGAAATTAAAGCAGTTCTGAAGGTAAAAGGGGGTCTAACACCCAGGTGTATCTAATAAAGTGACCGGAGAATGTACAGCCAATATATGTGATGCAGATGTGTGTTTTTCCCCCAGTGCAGTAAAAGGTACCTCTCGTATATCCTCATTGCCTTCTTTGACGTTCTCTGTAGCACCAACGACGAGCTGATGAATGTTGTCTATTTCTGCTTCCTGTCATGGAGAATAAGATGGACAATAAGTCTGTGTACAACAATGCACCGTGCACTTAACAGACTGCCTGTGTGAAACCGAAGGAACCCAGCTCACTTGTTGCAGGACTTTCTCAGCAAAGATTTCTTGAAGTCGTGAGATCTCTACCACCTTCCCTTCGATTTGCCTGGTGGGTACAAAACACTCGCATGAAGCATCCAATGAAAATAATGTGGCTAGCATATATAAGCCTTTCCAGATGATGTTAGGGGAACATTTAGTGTTTAGTGATTTTTATCACAAGTGTTTCAGATCCATGTCATTTAGTTTTATTAGCCACCAGAGGACTAATCTGCAAACACTCAAATCTTTGGGTAATTTTAATCCTGTCTTGATCAACATCTAACATTTCAGCCATGGTGTTTAAAACAGACTTATCAAAAACAGAAGGGAACATACACAGATGGAGACTCACCTCACTTCATCCACCAGGCTGTTCATCTCACTGATCAACCTCTGGTTTTCCTTCTCAAACTAGACATAAACACAGTACTGAATAAATATGTATAATGCAGATATCAAATGCTAATTTAGTGTAAATATATCTCCACTTTTATTTGCCTTATCAGACAATCCCTGTAAGCTGCTTTTGTGATGACAAATAACAATCCAAATTAGTCTGACATTTGCTGCTCTAAATCTTTAACCCTTCAAACCTCTGGCAAAAATCAACAACGAGTTGTCCCTGTGCACCGACACGCTGTCAAAGTACAACATTAACGTTTGAATCATGCAGATCTATTCATTCATTATTCTGTATACATAAATATTTTCTAAGGTGTCACACCATCTGAATTTCCTCTGGAGAGAGCTCATCTTCCACTCGGCTCTCCTCCCACAGGTTTACAGGGTTGTCCTGGACCTCTGATGATGCAGTCTTCTCTAAAGGGCGAAAGACAAAAGACTTTTAAAGACAACTTTAGACGTGTTACAATAAGAAACCTCTCTGAAAATATAACCTTGAGCAGTTGAGCAGATGGAGTTTTTTAAATGGAATATCCTCAGTTTATTATTTATTCCATACTCCTTTATTGCCTTTGGTAAGCTATTCCAACATTCAGTAACTTATTTTTTAGAGCGAGTGTGTTGTGAGTCCAGATGAGCTTTGAAATTGGTTCAACTGCCTTCAGGAAGCAGTCTCTTAAAGCAGTTTTCACGTTCAAGTACAAATCAAGTTGACAAGATTATAATAATAAATGTCCTTTTTGACAACTGTAATTATAACTAGGGATAGGTACCAGTATCCGATGCCATTATGGCACTGGTTCTGACATTAACAGTAGTAACCAGACTGAAAAGCAGCGCATATTTCGGTGCTTTATTTCGGTGGGTTTTTTTTTTCCTGAGATGTCATACACTTTGGATTCTAGCCAATCATTTTACCTTTGCAAGGATAGTAGGCGGGCCCAGGTACGTACGTTCTTTTCAAGCTACAGATTAAAAATGCCCAAGGCGAAGCTGTCAAAAAAGTCTGGCTGTACTTCACAGCAAAAGATGCAAACTCAGCAGCCTGCAACAAGTGCTTTAAGGTGATACTGTGATACTGTGCAAAGGAGGTAACACCTTGAATCTGACGACCAACCTGGCGACGCATAGCGTTTTTTTAAAAGCCGAGAAATGCACAGAGTTAGCAACATCCCCCAAAAACCCGAAGAG